GTGGGTGAGGCCATGCTCATGGCTGGATGCTCATGGCTGAAAGCCATGAGTCCTCCCTTTTCCTGAGAATAGTTTATTACCAAGTCCTATTGGTTCTGCCTATCAACGATGTCTCTTGAATCTTTACCCCATCTCTAATACCACCATGCTAGTCCAAGCCACCATCACTTTCTGCTTGGGATACCGTGATTGTGAACTGGTCCATACCTGTCTACTCTAGCCTACAGTTCTAATCTCCTCCCTTCCCCCATCTGGCTGTACAGCTGTGGTGCTTTGTGACTTAGCCAGAGGTTGGGGAAGGAGAAGGAAGCTGCTGCCCTCTGATAAAACCTGAGGCTGCTGTGTCTTTTTGGATACGGCATTTACCCGCTTCCTCCTAGGACCTTGGGCGGCCTCAACCAGCCATACTGGCGCAGCAGCTTCCTCACTTGTCTGTCTTGAGCCAAGTTTTAGTGTGGCCACAGCAGTGCAGTCAGTGCTGGGGACAGGGTGGTGAACGGACCTTGGTCTAGGTGGCAAGGATATTGGGGATAAAGTGGAGTTATTCCAGGGAATTTTGACTCACAGGTTCTGAGATTATGCATTAGCTGTTCAGTTGAAGGTAGGCCCTCAATCCTTTTTGGGTGATGGAGCTCTTGTCTAACCATTAAGACTTGATTCTGGTTGGGGTCTTTGCCTAGGGGAGCCTTCCCTGACTCCTCAGGCTGGCCGCATGGGCTAACACACATAGGCACAGTATTGAGCACACTGTTTACTCATGGTCTGTTCACAGGATTATGTAAATGAGTCCCTTGGGAGCAAGGCTCCTTGCTACAGCCCTAGAGACTACCCAAGAGTCCAACATGTAGTACGTGTATTGCCGAACGACTGGACGGAAACACACACTAAGGATGGAAGATGCAAATATAGGGTGACAAAGTGAAGGGATGAGTTTTGAGCAGAAAGACAAAGTCATTTTCTCTGGGTAAGCGGAAGAGGAGGAGTGCCAAGTCTTACTGGCACTCATGCCTTCCCAAAAAAGCAGGTTCTCAGGAAGGAGATTCAAGAGGTCTGCTAGGGGTAAGCATAGCCACATTTTCCTTTTGATTTCTATTTTCCGACCAAACTTAACCATTGCTGTATCCTGCTCAACCACCCTGTGCCATTTTGAAGTCCCCTCATAATTTACTACCTCAGCATAGAGCTAAGAATCTTATCCTTTATAGGACAGGAAGCTAAAAGCCTAGACTTTGGTCTGAGCCTTCTTCATTGCTGAATTCCCAGTGTCAAGTACATGGGAGGCATGTGATTAATGTATTTGCTAGAATGAATACTTAACCCAGTCTTCTACTTACCTTCTATTCTCCCACTGTCCTCAGGTGAGTGAGTGCTGTATTACTGGTGTATTCTGTGAGGCCAAATATTAAGTCACATTTCACTCAAGTTTTCAATAAGTATTTACTCTGTTCAAAGCACTGTGTTGATAAAGGATACAAAGATAACCATCAGGCCAGATACAGTGGCTCACGCCTGTAATCCCAGCACTTTGGGAGGCTGAGGAAGGAGGATGGCTTGAGCTCAGGTATTTGAGACTAGCCTAGGCAATACAGTGAGACCTCGTCTCTATTTTAAAACTATAAAAAATAAAATATTTTAAAAACTCCAAAGATAGCCATCAAGGAGCCTTAACAAACAGCCCAGAAAGAGTTAAGACATGAACACACATAACCGCAGCAGAGACAGTAAAGCATACCTTGAAAAATATACAGATTATCAAAGTCATCTATCATTGTTCCTCATAACAACCCTAGGAAATAAGTACTATTAATGCCCATTTTATAAACACAAAACTGTGGCACAAGAGTTTTAGGTGAATTGCCCACATTTACACAGCCAACGAATGGCAAAACTAAGATTCAAACATGGGTTGCACTTGAACTCATGTTCAAGTTGCCTTTTGTTAGAGAATGAAAGGGTTTTTAGGCATAGAGAATACATGAGAGCAGCAAAGGAACACAGAGGTGGGGAAGGACAAGTAGTTGACTCAGCATAGCAGAGTGCTTAAAGGGGTGGCCTGAGGCGCAAGGTGGGAAAGGAAAGCTTGGGGGTTCTAATTACTGAAGGTCCTTGAATACTGTATTAAGGAATCTGAACTTTAATCCATGGGAGATGGAAAATCATAAAGATTTTAGCCAGGCACGGTGACTCACGCATGTAATCCCAGCACTCTGGGAGGCCGAGTGGGTGGATCAGGAGTTCGAGACCAGCCTGGCCAATATAGTGAAACCCCGTCTCTACTAAAAATACAAAAATTAGCTGGGCGTGGTGGTGCATGCCTGTAATCCCAGCTACTTGGGAGGCTGAGGCAAGAGAATTGCTTGAGCCTGTGAGGCAGAGGTGGCAGTGAGTCGAGATCATGCCACTGCACTCCAGCCTGGGCGACAGAGTGAGACTTTGTCAAAAAAAAAAAAAAAAAAAAAGAGAGGAAAAGAAAATTATAAAGATTTTTAGGCCAGGTGTGGTGGCTCACGCCTGTAATCCCAGCACTTTGGGAGGCCAAAGTGAGGATTGCTTGAAGCCAGGTGTTTGGGACCAGCCTGGGCAACATAGTGAGACCCTGTGTCTACAGAAAAATTAAAATTAGCCAGGCATGGTAGTGCACACCTGTAGTTCCAGCTACTGAGGAGGCTGAGGCAGGAGAATCACTCGAGCCCAGGAATTTTAGGTTACAGTGAGCTATGATTTTGCCACTCCACTCCAGCCTGGGCAAGAGAAAGACTATGCCTTAAAAACAATTTATTTATTTTTATTTTTTGCTGGGCATAGTGGCTTACAGCTGTAATCCCAACACTTTGGGAGGCCAAAGTGGGCAGATTGCTTGAGGCCAGGAGTTCGAGACCAGCCTGGCCAACATGGCGAAATCCTGTCTCTACTAAAAATACAAAAATTAGCTGGGCGTGGTGGTGCACACCTATAATCTCAGCTGCTTGGGAGGCTGAGAAGGAGAATTGCTTGAACCCAGGAGATAGAGGTTGCGGTCAGCCACGATTGCGCCATCGCACTCCAGCCTGGGCAACAAGAGTGAAACTCCATCTCAAAAAAACCACACAAACCACAAACCAAAAAACGCATTTTTGAACTTTTTTTTTGGCTCAATTCTGATGCACAATCCTCAGTTAATGGTGTTGTACTTGGCTCATATTCTTTTTATTTTTGAGACAGGGTCTCGCTCTGTCACCCTGGCTGCAGTGCAGTGACCTGATCATGGCTCACTACAGACTTGACCCCTGGGCTCAAGCAATCCTCCCACATCAGCCTCATGAATAGCTGAGACCACAGGCTTGTGCCACCACGCCCAGGTAATTTTTAGTTTTTTTTTGTAGAGATGGGGTCTTGCTATGTTACCCAGGTTGACCTCGAATTCCTGAGCTCAAGAGATCCTCCCGCCTTGGCCTCCCAAAGTGCTGGGATTATAGGCATGAGCCATTGCACCTGGCCACTTTGCTCATATTCTTGAACATATAATCAAAATGTTTACCACGTATTAAGTGCGAGATACACTGAGTGCTGCGGGGGGGATATAAGAATCACTCCCTGTTCTCTCAGAGATCACAGTTTTACTGGGAAGCAGTGAATACAGAATGAGTTGCATTCAGATTCTGAAAAGCCAGTAAGTTTACACAGAACAGGGAATTAGGTTCTAGTCAGGAAGGCCGCCGAGGAAAATGCTGCAATAATTGAGATATGAGTTGGTAGAAGTGAGTGAAGCTGTCTTTGGCAGAATGGAAATGGCTGACGAGGCCTGAATTAGTCATCAGGGGTGAAGAGGGAGTACTTTCATGTTTCAGGCCAAGGTGGTCATTTCTTTCTGGGTAAGGATCTTTGCTATTTTAGGAATATAGGCAGATCTGAGCACTCAAACCCAGGTTCAAGTTGAATAGCTTCTCTTTAATCAAAGGGAGAACACAGATGTATCAAAGAGTAGGAAAGAAATGTATCAAAAGAGAGTAGGAAAGAAAGCCTTTTCTTCTTGAAAGGCTGAGGTTGAGAGGGAAAACTAATTTATCACTATAACTCTATGGTAGCTTTCGATGCTAAATTTTCCCTGCCTCTTTTGTGATTTTTTGATATGGAAGAGTAGGGGTTTTATCTTCTCAGTAACAATTAGGCCATATTTCCTTATACCAAGTAGAGGTGCTCAAACATTGTAGTGGTATTAAAGGGCTAGGAGAGTAACTGAAGACTGGCACAAAGAACTCCACCTGGAGGATGAAAGTCTGGCAGATGATTCTTGTCATCTTAGTGCCCTTAAAGTAGTCCAAAATCCTAAAATTCAAAGCCAGAAATTCCACACCCATTTAGTAGGCACCTAGATATACACCATATATTCTACTACACACAGATTATATACCTAAAATGGAAGGAAATCTTTCCTCTTGTGGGAAAGAGGAAGTGGAAAGGAGGTATACATTCCAATACATCTACCTACAACTGAGAGAAATTAACTACTATTACCTCCTCCCACACCATCATCTTTCCTCTCTTTGCATAGCCTGAGCTTTCAGAAGCACAACTGCAAACATCTCATACTGGTTCACAGGAATCTATTCCTTGGTCACTTCAAACAAGATGTTATTTATTTTTATTTTTATTTTTTTTGAGACAGAGTCTCGCTCTGTTGGCCCAGGCTGGAGTGCAGTGGCCGGATCTCGGCTCACTGCAAGCTCCGCCGTCCCGGGTTGTTTGCCATTCTCCTGCCTCAGCCTCCCGAGTAAGCTGGGTGACAGACGCCGCCACTTCCCCGGTAGTTTTTGTATTTTTTTGAGTAGAGACGGGGTTTCAGAGTGTTAGCCAGGATGGTCTGATCTCCTGACCTCGTGATCCACCCGTCTCGGCCTCCCAAAGTGCTGGGATTACAGGCTTGAGACACCGCGCCCGGCAAACAAGATGTTATTTATAACCCACACCTCCAACCCTACCCAACTTTGAGTGGATGGGGCAAAAATTACAACAGACTCTGCTAAGTTTCCACAAATCATTGGTTTATTAGAAAGTTCCTTTCCCTCATTTTACAGCATATATATCTCTATCATATGTGATAAAGTTAAATACAATCTGTTATGCTTGTAAGTAAGGATAGGTTATTTTGTTTTTTTTTTTTAAGTTTTAAAATCACTATTCTGGAAGTTAAAGAAAATGCCCCGAGGAAGGTAAAGAGGCAGCCAGAGTATGGCTCAATCTACAAGCTAATGGGAAGCAGCACAAAAATGTTAATACTGTATTATTTATTTACATGGGCTGAAAGCAAAGAAAAATGAGTCCCTTCACTTACACAGATGATTTCGTTTTTCCAGTGCCAGTTATACAAGAAGTGATGCTTCTGAATCAGACAAGGAGCACTGAACAGGTAGGAGGGTGGGAGGGCAGTCAAGAGTGCGCTTGCCTGCCACTTTCTTTTCATAAACTTAACACTTTTCTGAGAATTTGAGAAGGCAGGAACACAGAGCCCTGGTCCAGATAAGTATGGTTTTTCTTGTCAAGTGACCAACCAACCAATTCTAGCCACAGGAATAGTTAGGAAAATGCCAAAGAGGGAATTGTTAACCTCATCAAAGGAGATGGGACCTGCAATACAAGCCCCTTTGGGTCAGTGTGTTAATTGGGGCTGAGAGCCTGGGTGAAAGGCAAGAAGAGGGGCAAAAGAGGCTGAGGTGGTAATTCCTCTTGTCAGTGTCATAGGAGAAAAGAAACAAGGAACGTTTACTGTTTAAACTGAGCTGGGCAGAGGGCATGGAAACTATGAAGCAAAATAATCTGAAGTATCTGTAAGTGTGCTCACCTCCCAACAAAAGGAAAAAGACTGTCCCAACTCATCCTCCAGCCTACTTCTACTTCAGTTTCTACCAACCCAAAAGGCACATTAAAAAAAAAAAAAATTGTCAGAGGGGGCTAAGTACTAGGAAGGCAAATGGACTGACTGCCTTGAACAAGGTACCCAGGGAAACCCAGGAATCCCCCCAGACAATCACCAAATCTCACTGCTTCCAGACAATAAAGCTGTTGAGTCCCCTCCTTCTCCTCTGTGGGGTCCACCTGTTTCTCCGTGTAAAACAGCAAAAGTACATGAGGGAGACTGTTAAAGATGAGTATCCCTCAGAAGCCCCCGGCTGACTGCTGCCCATTAGCTCAAAAATCCCAATACTGGGGGCACTACTTACTGCAAATTACTTAACATTTTGTCCCAGCAAAAAATGTTTTAACATTTTATAGTTCATAACTTCAAAAAATACATAAGCTTGGTAAAATATACATGCTTAGTCAGTTTTGCATCTAGCAGAAAACAAATATTTTATTTTTTGTTTTCATTTTATAACCTTTAAAGTTTCTTAATTCAACTAGGGCAAACATATTTACACAAAGCCACCAGAACGAGGATCACTTAAAGAGCTGGATGTAAAAAATATTATTGCAGTATACTACAAATATGGAACCTTTTTTATATGAGCTACAAAAAGCAGCATTTACGTTTATAGAGTTCAGTGCAATTTTTTACATTAAAAAAATCCTATAAATTAAGAAGGAAACATCAACACAACAGAAGAAAATATACCCTTCACTTCAGACACATGAGCTCCTCTCCGGGAAAGCACATGGGCAACTCTATGTTCCACACAACTTTTATTCATGATAGGATCTTCTTTTCTGGGATATAGAGATGCCTCTTCTGGGATGAGGGACACCAGGATAATAGTGCCAAATGTGTGGCTCCGTTGATGTGGGAACTGGATGGAATTGCAGCCTGAGTTATATCAGGTTCCAGGTGAGACTCTTTCCACCTCACCTGGGATAACATAACGTCACCAAGGATGTCAAAGACACTACCCCAAAGTGGTGGCACTTCCACCACTAGAACAGCTTGGCCTTCCCTGTGGCGCTGAGAAGGCAAGACCAGATGGGCCCACAGCAAGTGCTTTGGTGACAACCCACTGGCCAGAGAGGAGGAAAATGTTTTAAAATTTATAGAAGGGAAGAGCAGAGGAAAAAAGCAAAAAGCAGAGGGAGGAGGGGATTATCTAAACTTGACAGTTTGGAGATGTTGCTGCAGAGGGGTGGGTAGCACTTACTGGTGTTCCCTAGCTTAGAAACACAGGAGAGGGAGGGACAAATTGAGAGGAGGACAGGAAAAAGAAATCCCTGATAGTAAACTGAAAGCAAACTTCAAATCTAAACCCACCCCTGTGAGCCAAAACTCAATTCTTTGGCTGTCAGACACTGCCCATCCCAGCTTCTACTTGCTGGTATTAATAGCTCAACAGCCCCAAGGGAACATTTATGGGTCTCCTCCCCTGGCCCTACCTAGGATCCCATCCCCCAACTCATGTGCCATGGCTGGGAGGATGTTGCAGGTCCTGACCTGAGAAGATGGGGTGAAGTAGTGGGTGAAGGTGGAGGGCAGTGGCAGCTGCTGCAGCAGGCCGTGGGGCAAGTAGGGTGGGGTAGAGGGCAGCATGTGGGACAGGATGAAAGGTGAAAGGCCCAGGATGGATGGCTGAGGCGGGAATGATGTGGATGGGATGGCTAGCGAGAAAGGTGGCAGGGTGGCCAGGGATGATTGAGTGAGTGAGGTGGGACAAGGAAATGGGGGTCAGATGGGGCTGGGGAATATGATGCACCTGGGCAAGTGGTTGGGGATGGGGGTGGGGGTGAATGCCAATGGCGGCAGCAGCTGCGGCAGCATGATGTTGTAGGATGGCATGCTGAACAGTTGTGATGGAGGTGGCAGAGGCTGTAGCTGGCTGCTGAATGTGGATAGGTTGCAGGGCTGGTGTGGCTGGGGCCAGGGCAGCTGAGGCTGGAAAGGCCTTTACTTGCTTGGCCAGAAGCTGCTGCTGGATGTGTTGCTGAGCAGCCTGCTGGAGCTTGCTGTACTTCTCCATCTCCTCAGGGGTGAAGGTGATGGGCTGGCTCTCCAGGGGGGCCAGTGAAGCATCCTCAGCCCCATCTGTTGACTCAATACTAGGATCCCCACTGGGAGGTGCATAACTGGGGAAATGCTCAAGGTCTGGTGCTATCGGCAGCAAGCTGGATTCCACAGGGCCTGGTTGACTGCTGCTATCCAGGGACTCCAGGGTGTCCCCATCACTGGGGTCGGGGAGGTAGTTATGGGAGATGGTTGGATCCCCAGGGTAGCAGTCAGTGTGTGCTGGGGTGCCTAGTGGAGCCACAGGGTGATCAGCAGTAGCTTCTTCAGACTTTGGCTCTTCTGGGGGTGGGTCTAATAAGGGGCCAGTTGTTTCCTCTGAAGGGAACTGATGCCCAAATAGGGCATCACTACTCCCTGAGGGCCCCTCTTCTGTCTCTGACTGTTCTTGCTCTTCCCCCCTTTCCAAGCCAGACTCTTCACATTTCTTATTGGGCTTTCGGGTAGCTGGGAGCTTCCCTATCAGTGGAAGGACAGGCTTATTGCCAAGAGATGGGGGGAGCTTGGGCCCAAAGTAACCTTGTGGGGGGTCCTTGAGCTTGGGCCCAGCTTTACTAGGGGTGGCCTGCACCTCCTCACTCACACTAGGTTTCCTCTCCACTTTCCTTGACTGAATCTTCTCCAGTAGCAGTTTGGCAGTAACAGAGTTCTTGTCTTCAGGACTGCAGTCACTTTCTGACCCTCTTCCTGTGCCAATGTTGCTGTTCTGGGAAGGTGGACCTGTTGCTTTACTGTCATCTCCTCTGCCATCATCTTTCTTCCCAGGACCTTCTCCCCGGCCTGATCGGAAATAGTGGGGGGACTGGGAGCGGTAGATCTTAGAACGAATGAAGTCCCGACGCCCAGAATGCCTCTCCTCAGGGCTCTCATGACCCCATGATCCCTTCCTGGAGCCTGATCTTTGGGAAGGACTCCTGGTGCTGCGACTGCGGTCCCGGCTATAGCTCCGGCTCCGTTGCCAGCTGTGGGCTGTGGTGCTACGGCTTCTCCGCTTGCTCCGACTACGACTACAACTGCTGCTTCGGCTGCGGCCCCGGGATCTTGAGCGCTCTCTGGTATGACTCCGAGATCGGCTTCGGGACTGGCTGCAACTGAGGCTATAGTCATCGTCAGAAGATGAGTATTTGTGCCGTTTTGATCGATGTTTGGAGCTGGCATAGTCTGAGTCATCCGAGTCGTGGGAGCGCTTGGAGTGCCTTCGTGATCTGTCGCTGTAGTCACTGTAGCTGTCATCTGAGTAACTGTGCTGTCTACTATAGCAGCTCTGGTCTGAAGAGGCATCTGAGCTACTTGAGTAAGAACGCCGGGAAGAACGATGTGAGGAATGGCGCCGGCCTGACCTTGAGCGGCTGCGGGAATGCTCACTGCCTGAATCTTCTTCTTCTTCCTCACTGTACTGGGATGGAGACTTCTGGTGCAGTCGGTGTGAGGAAGCATCATCACTATCCTCATCTCCACTACTGGGTTGGCTCCGATGGCTAGACCGGCTGCTCCGTTTGGTGCCTGCTCTTCGCTGGCAGGATGAAGGCGGAAGTTCACCTTTGTGTTTCCTCCCACTATGGTCTTGGGAGCTGCTACCACCCCCACCTTCCTCCTTTTTGCCACTGCTCCCCTCTTCAGCTGGGAGGGATCTCCGCTGGGAGTCATCTTGAGCTCGTCGCCGCCTTCTTGGAGGTGCAGGACTGCCACTCCCAGGGGGTTCTGGTTTGGGTCCTCGTTCAGAATCTGCTGGGGCTGATGACTTATTCTTCTTTCGTTTTCGTTTCTTGCGCTTCTTAGACTTCTCCCCCGACTCTGCCTTAGAGCTTTTCTCTTCTGTGTCACCCTTGTGTTTACGTTTGTGTTTGCTGGATTTTTTGTGCTTCTTTTTCTTTTTGTGCCGGTGGGACTTCCCAGATCGTTCTTTCTTGCTGGGAAGGCTTCTCCCTGTGTCTTCTGTCTCAGACCCATGGCTACCCCCAGGCTCCTGCTTGTTCAGGCTACTACAGGCAGACCCTGAAGCAGGTGCGTCCATTCTGCCTCCTGAGGAATGTACTATTTTCTCTCCGCCCACTTCCTTGTTTTTATTTGGCTCACCAGGATCTAGGCCTTGGAGATGGTCCTTTGAGGAGCTTCCTATATCCTTTGGTTTTTCTGTCCCTTTAGTTCTGGCATCTTTGTTCCTTGAAAGTTTAAAGTCAAAATATAAAGGGTTACAACTGTATGAAATGGAGGGTTCTGCCTTGGTGAAAATTAATAGTTCTGATGGCCACTGGAGGGCAGTGCTTTCATCTTTGCTCAAAACTGGGAAGAAGGGACCAGTAGGATGTTTGGGTCCTTCTTGGCTTTCTTTCCCTGCTGGGGTGGCCAGAGAGGTTTCTTTAGAAGAGTTGGACTCACACGTTTGGGTCTCTGAAACCTTCTGACTATGACTCTCTGAACTCTGATCACTTATATCCCCTCCTAAGGCCTTCTTTGCCTCAGTTTTGCTTCCTGGTTCTGAGGGCTCAGTCATGCTGGTTTCCTTCGGCTGCTCAGAGACTTCACTGACTGTCTTTTCTGCTCCTTGGCTTGCTGCCGCCTTGATGCAGCTTTTAGGCTTGGGAGAACTGCCTTTTTTACTCTCTGGGGCATTCTTTGGGTGTGTACTATTATCACCTTCCATTTGTTCACTGGCTCTCATAAAAAGTAGGAAGGGAAAATTAGGTTTTACTTTGCAGTGTGCTGGGGGGATGTAGTGGTAATATTCCGGCTCTGTAGCCCCAGCTCCTTCTTCTCGCTTCATCCTTTTTAATTTGGATAATGTTGAGGCAAGGGATCCTCCATCCTGAGGGTCTTCATCCTCCTTTTTACCATCAAGATTACTGCTCCCATCAGAGTCTCCTACCTTCTGCAGTCCTTGGTCAGAACCCTTCTCATCAGGTTTTGTTCCATCTTCAGAGGTCCCTTCCTCCGCGTGGTCCTTGAAAACTGATGCTATTGATTCGAGTTTGACAGGAGCCTTCTTGGCAAAAGAAAATGACACTCCCAATTTTTGCAGTGGGGTCCCCAGATTATTCTTAATGCCAAAGCTGATGCCTTGGGAGGCTAACCCAGGAGCCTGGGCCAGTCCAGTGGTATTAGTGATTTGTACTGCAGTGAAAGGGCCTCCTTTATCTGTGGAAAATTCAGATCCCAGGCCACAAGAAGCAGTGGCACCTGTGCCACTATTTGTAGCTGATTCATCTTTATCATCTTCTCCACCTTCTTCATCTACAGCCACTGTGGTTGGTTTGAACATGGGACCACTTCCAGGTGCACTACATGACATTTTAGAAAAATAAAAAGCAAAGAAAAAGCAGGTTTAGGACTACATTCCATAAACCTTATAAAATACTAATCTCTTATATCCTATCATTCATTATAGGTAGGTCTCAAAGACAGTGAGTGGTGGTCATATTCCCTAGTCCTATACTAACAAACGCGACTTTCTCAGAGGAGGTTAGGCAAAGACTCATTCTGTTAACCTGCCAAATTCCCAGGGCCAGCCAGTTATTACTGTTTTTTCTTAAGCTGTCTAAAGTACAAAAAGCTGGGTGTGGTGGCTCACACCTGTAATCCCAGCACTTTGGGAGGCCAAGGCGGACAGATTGCTTGAGGTCAGGAGTTCATAACCAGCCTGGCCAACATGGTGAAACCCTGTCTCTACTAAAAATACAAAAATTAGCTGGGCATGGTAGCACGCACCTGTAATCCCAGCTACTTGGGAGGCTGAGGCAGGAGAATCACTCTAACCTGGGAGATGGAGGTTGCAGTGAGCCGAGATCACACCACTGTACTCCAGCCTGGGTGACAGAGCAAGACTCCCTCTCAAAAAAAATAAAATAAAATAAAGTACAGGCCGGGCGCGGTGGCTCATGCCTGTAATTCTAGCACTTTGGGAGGCCAAGGCGGACAGATTGCTTGAGCTCAGGAGTTCGCAACCAGCCTGACCAACATGGTGAAATCCCATCTCTACTAAAAATACAAAAATTAGCTGGGCTTGGTGGCGCACGCCTGTAATCCCAGCTACTCAGGAGGCTGAGGCAGGAGAATCTCTTGAACCTGGGAGGCAGAGGTTGCAGTGAGCTGAGATCACGCCACCGCACTCCAGCCTGGGTGACAGAGCGAGACTCTGTCTCAAAAAAAAAAAAAAGTTCATAAAGTAAGACTTATGTTACGACTGAAGTAGTGCATCGTTACTATATTTCAGATCTCATTTCTTATTTTATCATTCTATCCATTAGTATGTTATCTAATGTATGGCTGTACATGTATTCACATCGGTTTTATTTCATTCTATTAAAGAGAAACTCTTGCTGGGCAAGGGTGGCTCACATCTGTAATCTCAGTGATTCAGGAGGCTGAGGTGGGAGGATTGCTTGAGGCCAAGATATCAAGACCAGTCTGGGCAACATAGTGAGACTCCACCTCTAAAAAAAAAAAAAAAAATTAAAATTTCCCCATGCTTTCAAATTTCATTTTTTAAAAATGTGTATATTCTGAGTTAAACACAGAAACGTCCGCGTGCTACTTATGGCAGTCTGTGGTCAGTATGTCTATCACATAAACTAAAAAGTCCATGCCTATCTCCTGGGTACCATAACAAGCATTTGCTTTGGTTTTGTGGCAGTTTCTGGGCATTCAGTACTACGGTCATAATGTTACCTGAGCACTTTCATCTTTGACAAAAGGAATATTAAGGAGCCTCAATAGTTTTAAACTGATGATCTTGCCTGAAAGTTTTATTTTTTTGAGGTGGGGTCTAACTGTGTTGCCCAGGCTGGAGTGAAGTGGCATGATCATAGCTCATTGCAGTCTCAAACTTCTGGCTCAATCCTCCCACCTCAGCCGCCTGAGTAGCTATGACTACAGGTGCACATCACTATGCTGGCTAATTTTATTTATTTATTTGAGACAGTGTCACTCTGTTGCCCAGGCTGGAGTGCAGTGGTGCGATCTCGGCTCACTGCAACCTCCACCTCCCGGGTTCAGGTGATTCTCCTCCCTCAGCCTTGCAAGTAGCTGCGACTACAGGCATGCACCATCACACCCAGCTAATTTTTGTATTTTTAGTAGAGACGGGCTTCACCACGTTGGCCAGGATGGTCTTGATCTCTTGGCCTTGTGATCTGCCCACCTCAGCCTCCCAAAGTGCTGTGATTACAGGCATGAGCCACTGCGCTCAGCCCATGCTGGCAGATTTAAAAAAACAATTTGTAGAGACAGAGTCTTGCTATGTTGACCAGATTGGTCTTGAGCACCTGGCTTCAAGTGATCCTCTGGCCTCTGCCTCAAAAAGTACTGGGATTACAGATGTGAGCCATTGTGCATCTGGCCTGCAATTTTTGTAGTGTGTACACTATACAGTGTACACTATATCCTTAAATTCCAAATCAAGAACTAAACAGAATCAGATACCTATTTGTATGATGTCCTTGTTATCCAAACCCTAGCTAATAGCTATCCTCAACTCAGGGACAAGTATATTCAGACAATGTGTAATCTCTTTTTTTTTTTCCTCTCTCCCAAGCCGGAGTTTTGCTCTTGTTGCCCAGGCTGGAGTGCAATGGTGCAATCTTGGCTCACTGTAACCTCCGCCTCCCGGGTTCAGGCGATTCTCCTACCTCAGCCTCCTTAGTAGCTGGGATTACAGGCGTGCGCCACCATGCCCAGCTAATTTTTGTATTTTTAGTAGAGACGGAGTTTCACCATGTAGGTCAGGCTGGTCTCAAGCTCCTGACCTCAGGTGATCCACCTACCCCAGCCTCCCAAAGTGCTGGGATTACAGGCGTGAGCCACCGTGCCCCACCAATGTGTAATCTCTTGCTATCTAAACTGTTGCTACTGGAAAATGAGAACTCAACAGATTTGGAGAGCAAGAAATACTTACACTGTGTTATGAAACCTACTCCACAGCAAACAAATAAAAAACGACCCCCAGGGCCAAACTGAATAAAAAGGGGATTCTGTTTTTTTGAGACAGGGTCTTGCTCTATCACCCAGGCTGGAGTGCAGTGGTGCGATCACAGCTCACTGCAGCCTTGATCTCCCAGGCTCAAGAGATTCTTCCACCTCAGGCTTCTGAGTAGCTGGGACTACAGGCATGTGCCACCATACCCAGCTAATTTTTAAGATTTTTTTTTTTTTTTTTTTTTTAGAGACAGGGTCTTCCTATGTTGCCCTGGCTGGTCTTGAGCTCCTGGGTTCAAGAGATCCTCTTGCTTTGGCCTCCCAAAGTGCTGGGATTACAGGTGTGAGTCACTATGCCCAGCATGTGCTTTTTAATATAAATGTTAGAAAATGGGAATAATTGTAATAGCGTCATCATTTATTGATTTCTTGAGCATCTCTGATGTGCTAGGCATCCCTTCAAGCATTTCCAAGGTAATAACTCAATCATTCCTCATAACAACTCTAAGTTGTTCTTATCTCTATCTTACAGATAAGGAAACTGAGGCATAGAGTTTAAATATAATTTCATTACGTCACATAAATAGTAAGAAAAATATGGCCTCAAAAATACACATACTTAATCAGTATATTATACAAGTATATAGATATGCTTTTAGTTTGAAAGAAGGATCTATTAAACATTTTAAGGAACTGGAGGACATTATGTTAAGTAAAATAACCCAGAAACAGAAAATTAAACACTGCAGGTTTAATTGCAGGTTTAATTGCAGGTTTAATTCCACATATGTCACACATATGTGGAAGCTAAAAAAAAAAAAAGTTGATCTCATAGAATTAAAAAGTAGAACAGAGATGGATATGGTAATTACCTTGATCTGATCACTATATGTGTTGAAACATTACATATACGTTGAAACATTACTAAGCAACCCATGAATATGTACAATTATTATTTGTCAATTAATAAAAACTGAAGGTTTATAATTTTTTTTTTTGAGATGGAGTTTCACTCATGTTGCCCAGGCTGGAGTGCAATGGCACGATCTTGGCTCGGCACCACCTCTGCCTCCCAGGTTCAAGCCATTCTCCTGCCTCAGCCGCCCTAGTAGCGGGGATTACAGGCATGTGCCACCATGCCTGGCTAATTTTGTATTTTTAGTAGAGACAGGGTTTCTCCACGTTGGTCAGGCTGGTCTTGAACTCCCAACCTCAGGTGATCCGCCCGCCTCAGCCTCTGAAAGTGCTGGGATTACAGGTGTGAGCCACCGCGCCTGGCCACTTTTTTGTTTTTGTTTTTTTTTTGAGATGGAGTCTCCCGCTGTCACCCAGGCTGGAGTCCAGTGGTGCAATCTCGGCTCACTGCAAGCTCTGCCTCTCGGGTTCACGCCATTCTCCTGCCTCAGCCTCCAGAGTAGCTGGGACTACAGGCGCCTGCCACCACGACCGGCTAATTTTTTGTATTTTTAGTAGAGATGGGGTTTCACTGTGTTAGCCAGGATGGTCTCAATCTCCTGACCTTGTGATCTGCCCGCCTCAGTCTCCCAAAGTGCTGGGATTACAGGGGTAAGCCACTGCGCCTGGCCCAAGGTTTATAATTCTTAAATCTTAATTTAAATTTTAAATTATAATTTGAAATCTATAATTTAAAACTTTAAGGATTATAATTATCTGTAGAACCCTCTGATAAAAAATATCCTCACCATTCAGCTTGTTTTCTCTGCTCTGCCAACTCATGGAGCCGCCGAAGGGCTTTTTCCTGTTTTTTCTCATCCTTGCGGGATCTTGAAGAGACATTTCGAGCAAACTCTCTCTGCTTGAGATCTTTTAATCTCTGGGTTAAAAGAAAGAAAGATACAGAGGGTGGATGATTTACAGTAACTTGGGAATCAGAAAGCAAAGCCTTTAGGACATGACCCTCAACCAACAGTCATAGTATTAGTGTAGAACACATTATCATATTCTCTTATGGCAACTGAAAACACAATGGCTGATTACTTTGGGTATAGCACTTGCAGTATCTACACTTCTAATTAGGACAGCATATCATTTGCTTTATTAGGCAAAATAAAATGATCTCAAATGCAACAAGCAAATTTTAGAACACTGGGAGGAAAGAAAGGGACCTGCTCCTCCAGGATGCAAAACTAGACAAACAAAACATGAGATAAATTGTAATAACACAAGCCAAAGAGAACAGAAAGGGGTTAGGCTAGTACAGAAAGTTACCCAGGTGTAAGATCTTGAAAAGCAATGTACAGCTTACATGGGGGGTTATTTGAATTAGAACAAATAGAAAGCATACTTTTATTTCACCATAAAAAGGTGTCATTTTTTTTCAGCATGAATAGAGGTTTCCCGTAACTATTAAATAAACCCGAGAGGTCTTCCAGCGCTAGCACGTTTAGAGCTCACCAGTCTGACCACTTTTATCTGGTCAGCCTGCTGAAAGTAGTATGTGAGGCTTTGCATTCCTTCATGGCCCTGAGAGGAATATCCAGGGGATGAGGAGGGAGAGCAGAGATAAGTCAAAGACTTTATTACTTAGAATCCAGATAACAGAATGGGTCTTTTATTTTCAGAACTACTGTATAATTTTCCTTAAAAGAAATACAACCAAAAAAGAACAGTGTTATGACACACTGGTGACAGAACCCAGACATATCTATCTGCAATAAAGACAGAAATAAAATTATTTTCAAGACATTAGATAATAACAAGACACAAACAAAACAAAATATATACATTAGCCTATGCTTTTACAACAGCATTGGGAAAAGGAATTTGACCCAGTATAAAGTGGACATTGCTTTGTGGAAAGGCATGATGTTCAACAGACAGAGGAATTTTCTTACCTAGTATTTATGAAATGTGTTTTGAATCTTTTTAAATTGGGAGGGGGGAAGGGTAAAAAGACACACACAAAAAAAGATATACAGCTAAAGACACTAGTAGAAAAACTCACTCTTGTGATCTGGGCTCCCAAATTAGAAGGATTTGCTTTCAATACATCAGCTGAAAATGTCACATCACAAAGAAAAAAAAAGTAAAAAATAAAACAAGAGTGGAAGAGAAAAAAAAAATAAAGCAAGCATTACTACACAAGCTCTCTTAGTGAATCTGTAAACTATTATACTGAACAATCAGGGACAAAGCCATCAACTCTAAAAGGGCTGGGGAGAAGGGAAGCACCTGTACAACATATATATGTGTACATACACACAGACTGACATAGTAATCCCACCTAGAAAAATGGAACTACCTGTATTTCTTCCAGAAAAATGATTCCAGAACTTTGGAAAAGACCATTGTGGTACAAAAAGCAGTCCTGTTTCCATTAGCCCTTATTTTGGGGGAAGTTCAAGTAATGAACAGCTGGCAAAACTATTACTGCCCATAATTAAGAATTTTTTTTTTGAGACGAAGTCTCTGTTGTCCAGGCTGGAGTGCAGCAGCGCGATCTTGGCTCACTGTAGCCTCCGCCTCCCAGGTTTAAGCAATTCTCATGCCTCAGCCTCCCAAGTAGCTGGGATTACAGGCATGCACCCCTATGCTTGGCTAATTTTTATATGTTTAGTAGAGACGAGGTTTCACCATGTTGGCCAGGGTGGTCTTGAACTCCTGGTCCCAAGTGAACTACCTGCCTCGGCCTCCCAAAGTGCTGGGATTACAGGCATGAGCAACCACACCCAGCCCACAATTAAGATTTTTATAAAACCACTTCAAGATAAAGGATCAACTATTTTAAATAAATATGAATAAATATGAATTCTAATTTCATCCTCCTGAGGGGAATGGGGCAGAAAGAAAAGGCTTATCAGGCCTATTATATGATTACCTTTGGCCACAAACCTAGTTTTTTCTTCCCCAAACACGTAACAGGCTCTCTAACCAAGATTTATATAGAATATAATGTTCTTCTCATATCTGCCATTTTCTCTTTTTTTTTGAGACAGAGTTTTAATGTCGCCCAGGCTGGAGTGCAGTGGTGTGATCTTGACTCACTGCAACCTCTGCCTCCCGGGTCCAAGCAATTCTCCTGCCTTAGCCTCCCGAATAGCTGGGACTACAGGTGCCTGTCACCACGCTCAGCTGAGTAGAGATGGGGTTTCCCCTTGTTGACCAGGCTGGTCTTCAATTCCTGACCTCAGGTGATCCGCCCACCTTGGCTTCCCAAAATGATGGGATTACAAGGCATAAGCCACTGCACCCGGCCTGCCATCTCTCTAGCCACCTGCTAAGACTGGAAAATTTCCCCATGCCATTTCTTCCCCTCTTACAAATATTTCATTACTTTTAGGAAGCATTTTTCAAACTACAAGACACTGTCCAAAAGAACAATCATTTAATCAAAGTATGGAGTCCCCAGGCTGAGTGAAGATTAGGCTTTCCATTCAGCAGCCACTTTGTACAACCCTGAAGTTGAAGGAACAGGACCATGTCCACATCATGCTGAAGACATCCTATCTCAAGTTCCTACCACAGGAACATGGTTGGAGGCAGAGACGGAAGAAGATAGGATGATGCAATAAAACGAATCTAAACTGCAGGCTCCCTCTGGGCAAACCTATCCTAAGAATATCCTACAAAGCTTAGGAAAGGCTCCCAATATCACATTTACAAATTTTACAGTCAAGTCTGCGGTCTCAAAAGCAGAATTGAGAACCCCAGAATTCTAACCCCAACCTTAAGAGACAGGACTCAGCAAACCCTATCAAACTGAGTATGTATACTTGTGGTTTCTCTCAGACGAGGACATTCTGTTCTGGCGACTTTTTTTTTTTTTTAAGAGACAAGGTCTCACTTTGTTGCCCAGGCGGGAGTGCTGGGGCTATTCACATGTGTGATTCCACTACTGATCAGCATGGGAGTTTTGACCTACTCTGTTTCCGACCTGAACCAGTTCACTTCTCCTTAGGAAGCTTCGTTGGTCCCCCGCTCCTGGGAGTTCATCACATGATGCCGAACTTAGTGCAGACACCCAATCAGCACAGCGCACTATAGCTCAGAACTCTCGGGCTCAAGTGATCCCACCAGCCTCAGCCTCCCAAGAAGCCAGGACTATAGGCATGCACCACTACGCCCAGCCAAGACATGGGTTATAAGGTTCATATTTTCCTTTACCTAGAATGCCTAACTCCAAGTGTCTCCTGTCTACTCAAGGTCAAACTAAATTCTTACAGTCTCCACTGATCCTTCAAAACAGGGGACTGTTCTTTCTGAACTGTCCCTAGTGGTGCTTTGTCATATCGTTCACCTAGCAGCTATTGTATTTTGTTCTCTGACCAGTTATTCCTGTCTTTTAAAAAGGCAGTATGTGTAAAGCTTCAGAGTCAGAAAGCTTGGGTTCAAATCCATTAATTAACTAGCCAATCCACTTATTACTAGATGATTTCACCTCTCTGAGTTCCAGCTCCCTCATTAAAAAACAGGGCTACCTATCTACAGATTTACAAGATTAAATGTCAAAATAAATGTAAAGCATTTAATAAGTCACAAGTGTTCAATACTGCCTTCCCTCTGTGTGGGGCAGGGACTACAGCTTATCTTTATAATCAACCCCGCAGTATACAAAACAGCACTAAGTCTACAGAGGGCATCTGGTAAATGTCCAGTGAATAATTCAGTTCAAACATTAGATCCTTCGTTTTTCCTCAAATAAATTTTTCTACCATTTGTAGGAAAGCTTGATATAAAGTATTCTCATATTTATTAGGGACATATTAAAGTTATATAATATGGTCCTCCTAGCTACCACTCCAGATACCCCTTATTTCTAGACAGAATTGGGCCAAATGGCAAAAGATACTGGCCAGAAACTTCTCAGCTTCCTACCTAAAAAGTAATTTCTATAAAGGTACAAGGACCTAATCAGTCAGGTTTTCCAAAATTGCCTATTTTATTCCAAAAGGCTACCAATGTCTGGCTCATTTGTCATGGAATACCCATGTGAAATTCTGTGAAGTATACCTATACTTTTCTCTTAAATTCTAAAGAGGAACACAACTTTAGATAATTTCTTCAGGTGAGAATAGAGCAACATGCCTGCCTATGAGAGAAGAGGCAGAGCTCACAAGACCAAACACTGCAGATATGTCATCAATCTCTTGTCAAAGTCTGAGCAAATTCCATACCATACACAAAAATTCAAGTTAGACTCCAAACTGGGACATTCTAATTTAAATGGATTTGATTATCCATTTAAGCTGACTCAAAAGCTATGAGATGTATTTATCTCTGAAAATTACACAATATGCTTTCTGAAGAGCTGCTAATACATTAGCTTATTTTATTGAACTACTAATGGTATTAACAAAAATTTAAGCCACATAACACATTTTTAGTTGGGAAATATCTTAATTCAAGAAAAGGAGACTGAACCCCACCGGAAATGAAAAGATATGAAGATCTTGTTTTCCTGAAAAATCAACAGCATTTTTCCACAATAGTATACATTTGCAGCACAGTACAGAATGGAAGGAACATTTCCCACAGATCCTTAATCACATGGTGGCTGGGATTTCCATTACACTTAGCAGAAGACCAGTAGAAAGGAAAGACCCTAACAAATGATCCAGTACTTGAAGTATCCATCCACATTAACTGTGGCTCTTTGGGTAAAAAACCACTCTAAATGGAAATGACATTCCAGTTCTTTTTTTTTTTTTTTTTTTTTTTTGAGACGGAGTCTCTCTGAGTTGCCAGGCTGGAGTGCAGAGGTGCAGTCTTGGCTGGCGCATTCTCCTTTCTTTCCATCAAGACCTGTTACAATAATTTATCTATATATGAAGGTTACCTTTGATACCTTTGACATTCCCTTTTTTTTTTTTTT